ACCTCTTGGTCTGTTTTACCTAACCACGGCGGTGTGGTTCCACCTTAAAACTTAAAGGAAAACAGATTGTGTTTCTTCACACACACACGCACACACACACACACACACACACACGCACACACACACACACACACACACCTGCATCTTACAGTACAAGATGTTTGTGCAAATACGTCCAGATGTTGCACCGCATCGTGCAAAACCTCTTGGTCTGTTTTACCTAACCACGGCGGTGTGGTTCCACCTTAAAACTTAAAGGAAAACAGATTGTGTTTCTTCACACACACACGCACACACACACACACACACACACACGCACACACACACACACACACACACCTCCTTTCTTCCCCGTTCGCTGAATGGAAACTGTGTCAGTGGAGCAATGCCCGTCCACTGGTTCTGACCGTAGGACTCGGCTGATTGGCAGGTGAGGCGGCCGGTCGCAGGCGCAACCTCSGGCTCGAAAGGCCAATCCGAGCGCAGGGAGATGAGGTGGGGGGGGGGCTGTTGCCAGGACAACCACCTCTGAATGAGGGTGTTCATGAAAGGCGCACCAGATGGGAGTTATATAACAGGCTGYAGGGGGAGGCGGGGGGTGGAGGCTCAGAGGACAGGAGGGGAGGATGGGGATAAAGGGAGCAATGGAGAAAGGGATTTTTTTTCCGTCGGCCTTTATTTATTTATATCCCACACAGTTGTGTTTTCTTTTTGTTTCCAATTAAAACACTCAAACCTGCATCGCTACAGAAACACACATTTCAGGAGCAAAATGTTGGACCGATTTCTCCCCCCAAAGTCAGAGGATCAGTCAGAGACTTTGTGTGTTTTCACTCAGTCTGTGACGCACATCTCTCCCCWCAAAGACTGACTCATGATTGATTGGATTTGAGTATTTCATGAAAGTGCCTTTAGAAAATGGCCATTTTCTGTAGAGCTGTGAAAACTAAGTCAAATCCTATTTTGTGATATAACAGCTTACCTAATATCCTTGTGTGACCTGACAAAAAGGCATTAGTGATTGTTTGGCACACAACAACAACATTTTTATACGTGGTAGAAGCTTTGTGGGTCACTGTTTGAGCCCTGAAACACACATTAATTGATTGCTTCACATAGTAACTCTGAGTTTTCGCTGACATTTGAAGATTTTTATAACCTTGGTGACGTGCAGGTGAAGCCTAGAGGAGTCGTTGCAATTGAGATGTATTTGTTTTATTTGGATACATGTAGATAAAAAAGAGCCAATTTCAAAAAACGACTACAACACATATTTTTATTTCCTTCTTAAATAACTTGAAAATCGTGACATGCAGGGACACCTGAGCCGGGCCAAGGCCTCCGAGGTTTCAGGATCCGATCCACGCCTCTGGTTACAGTGGAACTCCCAGGCGGACCCGGCGTGGCACAGTTCTTTTGTTATCCACCAACATTTTGCTCATCCTGATTGAGGAGCATCAGGGCGAGAGAGAGACCTGTGAAACTTTATAACCCCGGGCTTCAAGCTAATGCAATTGAGCTGCTATTCTGGGGCTGAGGAGGCCCGGCTACTTAGATAAACAGCATAATGAAAAGAACAGGCTGTTCTTGATTAAGAAGGCTCAGGCTTCCACAATGAGCACAAGATGTATAATGTATACACAGTTCGGTTTGCATTCTTCACACTTCTCTGGTTTCTTTACACTCCTGTAACACAACGCTAATTTGTTCCTTTATTATTCCAATGTTTCAGATTATAAAATGCACAGATCTTACTCTCTGAATGCAGTTGGCAGCAGACTTATTTGAGTTMAAATTCATGGCTGAATAAATATTGATTTGTTACAAACTGCCAGCTTCGTTTGACGCAATATCAGCAAGTCAAAAGCAAATGTTGAATGTTCTGTTAGTAAAAAAATCATTCCCTCAGCTTTTGCGGACACCGCTTTGTCTTGTTACTAAAAGAATGTGAGCTTAGTTTTCTACCTTTGGCAATATTTTTTACATACATAACTTAGATTAATTACTTTAGTTATTTTAGTCAGTTGAATCTTAATATTTTACAAAAAAATTATTACTACTTAATATATTAAAT